AAGGTGAGACTCAAGTTCAAGATTCATCATCCTCTGAATTTCTTTTGCATCCTTTGTCAAAAATCAGTTGGAGAAAGGTAAGGGTTGAGGGGATGGGAATAGGAAAGACAGTAGAATGAATCAGACATCACTTTCCTATGTTCATATATGAACACATGACAGGTAACTCACATCATGTACAACCACAAGAATGGAATTTTAACTGGAATAAGTTATACTCCATGCATGTGTGATATGTCCAAATACACTCTACCGTCATGTATATCTAAACAGAATAAATTTTAAAAATCAACTGGACATATTTGTGTGGGTTATTTCTGGGTTCTCTGTTCTGTTCCACTGATCTATGTACGTATTCCTCCACCAACAATGTGCAGGTTTTTTTGGTTTTCAATTTTTATTTATTTATTTTTAGAGACCAAGGGTTGAACCCAGGGGTGTTTAACCTCTGAGCCACATATCCAGCCCTTTTTACATTTTATTTACAGACAGGGTCTCACTGAGTTGCTTAGGGCCTTGCTTAGTTGCTGAGGTTGGCTTTGAACTTGTCTTCCTCCTGCCTCAGCCTCCCGAGCTGCTGGGATTACAGGCGTGTACCACTGTGTCCAGTGATGCGTAGTTTTGATTACTGTATCTAGATAAAAAGTCTTGAAAGTGGAAAAATGATTACCAATTTATTATTCTTTTATAAATTTAACTACTCTGTTTTCTTTGTCTTTCCAAATTTGTAGAATTATCTATATAATAAAAAAAAATAGCTGTTTTTTTTTTTGCTTTTTTATTTGTTCTTTTTGGTTATACATGACAGCAGAATATATTTTGACATATTTTATACACAAGGAGTACAACTTCCTTTTCTTCTGGTTGCACAAGATATGGAGTTACGTTGGTCATATTCATATATGACATAGGAAAGTGATGTCCAATTTATTCTACTATCTTTCCTATTCCCATTCCCCCTCCCTTCCCTTCATTCCCCTTCATCTAATCCAAAATACTTTTTTTCTTCCCTAGCCACCCCACTTTTGTGAGTTAGCACCTGCTAACATTTGGTCTTTGGTTTGGGGGGATTGGCTTATTTCACTTAGCATGATAGTCTCCAGTTCCGTTTACCGGCAGATATCATAATTTCTCTTCTGAGTAACATACCACATTTTAATTACCCATTCATCTGTTGAAGGGCACCTAGTTTGGTTCCATAGCTTAGCTACTATGAATTGAGCTGCTATGAACGTTGAAGTGGTTCCATCACTATAGTATGGCTGGGGTTTTGATAGGAATTGTGATAAATCTGTGAATAAATTCAAGGAGAATTTATATCCTTACTATTTTGGATCTTCCAATTCATAACCATAGTTATGTCTCTTCGTTTATTTAGATCGCTGATTTTTCATCAGCATAGTGCACACTAAGCATACAAGGCCTGAGCATTTTTTTGAGCTATTATAAATGGTATTATATCTTTGATTTGGTGTTTATGTATTTATTAATAAGTTTAGTATTGATTATCTGAAATGCTTGGGATCTGAAGCATTTTGTATTTCAGATTTAAGAATGTTTGTATGTATAGAAGGGATCTTGGGGATAGAACCCAAATCCAAACATGAAATTCACTCCTGTTTCATATACACTTATACACACAGCCTGAAAGTAACTTTGTACAATATTTTTAGTAATTTTGTGCATGAAACTAAGT